TCATCTACCCAGCTGGCCTCTCTCTCTCTCTCTTTCATCTAATTACCTATCTATCTATCTATCTATCTACCTACCTATCTATCTGTCTCTCCCTTTCATCTGTCTATCTGTCTAGCTGTCTACCTGTCTGTCTGTCTATCTATCTATCTGTCTACCTGTCTATCTGTGGTGCAGTGTCATTCAGTGTAATGTAGTGTGGTGTAATGTAGTGTGGTGTAGTGTAATTTAGTGTAGTGGAGTGTACTGGAGTGTAGTGTAGTGTAATATAGTGTAGTGGAGTGTAGTGTAATCTAGTGTAGTGTAGTGTAGAACCTCCAAAAGTGGTCTGAACCCCTAGTGTTTTTAACATTTTGACTTCAAAATGTGCTTCGCGCCACAACGGCATGCACTTTTTCAACATCCGAACCTCCAAAAGTGGTCCGAACCCCTGGTGTTTTTAACATTTTGACTTCGAAATGTGCTTCGCGCCACAACGGCGTGCACTTTTTCGACATCTGAAACTCTAAAAGTGGTCCGAACCCCTGGTGTTTTTAACATTTTGACTTCGAAATGTGCTTCGCGCCACAGCGGCATGCACTTTTTCGACATCTCAACTAGTAAAAATGGTCCGAAGCTGGTGTGTTTTGTACATTTTGACTTCGAAATCTGCTTCGCGCCACAACGGCGTGCACTTTTACGACATTGCAACTTCCAAAAGTGGTCCGACAATGGTGTGCTTTGTGCATTTTGACTTGGAAATGTGCTTCGCGCCACAACGGCGTGCACTTTTTCGACATCTCAACTGCCAAAAGTGGTCCGCACCTGGTTTGTTTTGTGCCTTTTGACTTGGAAATGCGCTTCGCGCCACAACGGCGTGCAATTTTTCATCTCTCATCTGGCCAGCTGGCTCCGCACCCGCCGCTTTAGCGAGCCTACTTTTCGACCCTCCGGAGCCACAAAACATTGGAAAGACACAGTGTTTCGCGACTTTCCTACCTTTTTCGCGCATCTGCATCTTCTTTCTTCTGACTCTTTCTCTTCTACGCTTCTCTCTTCTAATCTTTCTCTTCTCTCTGACCCTTTCCATCTCTGCTTTTCATCTGTCCATATTGTCGGAAGTTTGACTTCTAAACTTCCTTCGATCATATTCATGATTCATTCATATTCCCATATTCACAATTTCCGGTAGAACTTCCCCATTCACAATCTAATATATATATATTGTTATTATTATTATTAGTATTGTTATTATTATTCTTATTATTATTACTAAAAATATTATTATTATCATTATTATATATATACATATGTGTGTATATATATATCCCATATTGACACGCGACCCATATAGTTCGTAAATCTGGTTTAAAAACAATATCATCTGTATCCAATCATATCCCATCGTGAATAACACATTCATATTGATAATACATATATATATATCTTGATACTCCTAAAATGGGGCTGCCCCCAAATCATCCATGTTATTGTCTGATTCTCCATTCTAAACCATCCAGCTATTGAGGTACCGCCATGACTAGGGAATGTATTCTTGATATTGATATGGGTTTGTCTGAAAATAGTGTACCCCTAAACCCAGTGGTTTTGCTGATCATTATCCCGTTTTTAAATGGCTATTTCATTGGGAAGATTAACCCAACATTTTCAGACATACCCATATGTCTTACATGTTTATGTTCATAATATCCCATGATTCAGAATTTTCATATGTTCTTACCATCCCAAATCATCCATGTTTAGGCAGGGCAGGCAGGGCAGGGCCCCAACCCCCGCCAGCACCAGCAGGGCGAAGCCACCTGAAGGCAAAAAACAAGGCGTAAGAAACATGTGCAAGATGAAGATGGGGATATGATATCAATCTCTTATATAAGACTTTATTATTACACCTTATCAAAACCTGTATGTATATATTATACAGGTTATGCACATATGGATATATATATATATATACATTGTATTATAATTACATTTATAATAACATATAATGACAATGATCATATTAAAACGGTTGGAATTACTAGTTACTATGACATTGTTGTTATATTATGTCACTCATATAGCAAACAACAAGAAAAAGATGCCGATAATACCTTGGACAGCTGGAACTATACCATCTTTGGACATCTTTTCGGGGAGTTTCTAAGCTTTAAAAGAAAACAATCGGTAATCGTGATACATTGATACTATTAAATAGATTCAAATAGTATGACATGATGTACTGTGAGATAATTATGATATACCATCCGGTAGTTTTATATAGCCATTGAACATGTACAGTTTAGTTCGATGATGTACCTGTACCTATCCAACATGGTGATTGTTCATAGCTTCTGTTAAATCACAAGAGAATACTTGAATAACGCATCAACACCGCTAAGGTTAGAAGTTGGCAAACTCCAAAACCTTTGAAAATAGTGGAAACATGATGTGCATTGATGTAAATTGAAGCTGTTCTGAATCTGGGCTTAGTAGAGCCATTGGAAGAACTCCCTGGATGTTGCGGAGGTGATTCACATTGATAAGCCATGAGATATTTGAGTCACCATAGTCAGCCTGTTTCAGGACTATCCCAGCAATGTTCTCACTGCGACCTGCTGCGCCAAGTTGCACAATAAGACATATCCCGATCTGGCGGGAAGAGCTTGGAGTACACGGGTGTCGTTCAAGAATGGGAAATACCGGGATACAGTGATGATATACCCGCAATGTTTATTCTTTCATGGGGGAACTGGGGAAACCAATGAGAAATCACTCAGATTTTACTGTCTTGGACCCAGCCAAATATGCTTTGAGGGAACCATGGTATAATTCCACGAACTGAATGGCACCGCCCTTGTCTTAAATCAAGGGCATGGTTTCCTGCAATCTTTCTTTGAATCAACCCAGTTCATGTTAAAAACCACAAACACAGAATTGGAGAAGCTCAAACTAAACACTCGAGTCAATCCAATCCGCAACTGCCACACCCGTGAGTAAACTAACATAGCTATGAAAAATCACCATTCTTCGGTAAATCATAAATCAACTATAAATGGGCCAGGCCATTTTCCATAGCCCCTGCCCAGCTGGAAATTTGATTCGACTGGCTCACAGGGTTGCTCCTAACCCCAGATTCCACTGCCTATCACCCACGAAACAGGTTACAGCATATACATAAATACCAAAGCTGGGAAACACATCCTCTGAAGTTGTTCACATCTAATGAATCCAATGGGACAAACGAGTGGTCCAGAAGCAACACCACTGGAACATCCGACGCTGAAAATGCACCCGTCACAGTGGTGGTCAGACCTTCAGCACAAACGCTCTTGATTTTTGGGATGACAAGTCAAACATATCAATTCAAGATGCGCAGATGAAAAAACACCTAAGCATGTAATTTGTACACGCCTTTTCATCATCCTTAAGCTACATAAATTACTTTTGTGTGTGTATGACGTGTATGATTCTTCCCTGTCAGACTCTGCACCTTCCAGAGTGGAGAAAGTTAAAGAAGCTTGATACCACGGAATCACGTGCCGCTGCCGCCTTGGTGCCCGCGTCATGTCCATAATTTCTTCTGCTTCGCTGATTTTATTGGATCAGAATGGATATCCATAATATGTTCCATTCATATTATCCATTGGGATCATTGATGGATATGATTGGATAAAAATCTCTGTTATTTCCATAATATTATCCATAATTATACCGGCTATGGATCTATGATTTTTCTGGAGCCGCAAGAACTTAAATCTCGAGGATCATCATCCCAGGATGGATACGATGAGTTCCAATCCACCAACTTGCTCATCAAAACGGTTAACAAAAATGTAGCTATTAAAAAAAAAAAAAACATTCTGGCTGCCCATGGGAAGATATGGGATGTCCCCAGTTTAGATGATTAAATTTCATACTAAATCCCCATGTTTATGTCATGTTTGATGCTTATTCCATGACCCAAAGCTTGAACATCTCCAAAAATTCTCCCAACGCTCTGAGTTTTCAGACATGTTGGACAATCCGGATCGCCATGTCGCTGACGGCACATCATGGGACGATGCTGGAGCCAAGATGAGCTGGATGCCGGGCTGTTGGATGCCCAGTAAACAAAAGGCTGCTTTGACACAGCACAAATTGACCAGCAATTTACCAACTTCGGGGTCCTGCTGAGAGAGCATCCATGTTACGTTTCCCTCAGCGCCGAGAGCTCACTTTCGCTGGGCATTGCCAGCGCCGAAACACTTTGGAGGTCAAGTTGCCCAAACGCCGAGGGGGCCGTCCAAAGGGTCTTTCCCAATCCCTGGCGCCTAACATTAGATGAGTATGTGTCAAGACAAAGGGGGTGGCATACGATCCTAGTGACAGACCATTTTGTCTGCGGGTTAAATCATGACACATACCCAAATACCCATTTAACCAGCCAGCTATCACATTGCCCAGTCCCATTTTGAGGTGATCATATCAATACCGTACCTGCCCCGGGCACGCTATGGTAGACAGCTGGCAATTTCTGATGCTAGAGACTGTCACAAGGCGCCAGCCATGGCGCCATCACCAGGTGATTGAAACAACCAATCTTCGATCAGCACCTGAGGCGAGTTCAAGGTGGTTCACAGTGCCAAGTTCAAGGACTTCCTAACCATGGGCTACTCATCACTAAGCGGATTTCATGAATTGGGATGATTATCATGATTATCCAAGTGGGCGCGACAGCAAAGTACAGAAAACCTGGACTGGGCCACCATACTTTTGATTGCCTGTTCCGTAACCACCGGGGTTTCTTTGCTTGTTGTAGCTGGTCAACATTCACCATGGCAGAGGGAACCAACAGCAACCGTTCACAATAAGGCCTATGCCTGAAAACCCATCAAATACCATCAATTTCCCACTCCCCAAAGTCGACCAAGTTTCGCTCGAAGACATTTTGGGGTCCCAACCCAATTGGACAGAATAGGGGTGGTCAAAATCATGTATCAACCCCTCATAGGCATGATGTCGACATGATTTCTACATGATTTCTACATGACCAGCGCGGCTTTTGATCCTTTTTTTCTGTGTCCAAATCGGTTCCCCAGTGACGACCGAGGAACATAATCCAGGTCAGGCAGTTCGGTCAACATCTTCAAGCACTCCTTGATGCTGTTGGCTATGGGCTGCCCCCGCGCATTGAAGCCTCTCCGTGAGGACCCCGGGACCCCAACCCACCGTACTGGTGCATCGTCCAAGAAGAATACTATTCATGATCCACTGTGGGGGGAATACTTGCTGGTGCTAAACCTAGGGAATTTTCGGGAATGATCCACTGGCTAACTATTCATAGTAATCCCAGCAACCCCCAGAAACCCATCCATTCCCTACGTAAAATGCACCAGTAAGAATAGTCATGGCAGCACATCCTTAAATAGCCTCAAAGCAGCACATCCTGGGTGCAAAGTGTCCCCGTGTTTCAAATGGAACACCGCTAATAGAGATGGCAGAACATTGATGAACATCCCATAGCGCAAGGGGATGGAGCTGACTCCCAAACACAAGGCCTGAATAGCCATGGCTAGTGCTGTGGAACCGATTTTGCAAGTATTATACATATGTATATGTGTGTAATTATATATATATATTGTCGAATATTCGGTAAATGCAATTTGACATGGTTCGCTAAAAGAATCAAGAAATGAAGCATCCATATTGTTGGTTAAGCTACATCTCACATTTTAGTGCCAATCTGTTCCCATAATTGGTTGGTGACTGAGTCTGAGTCTAGTCTGACTCACATGTTTGTGGCTTAAATAACTATGATTATTACATAGAATTATATGTAAAATCCTATTTTTTTTTTTTATATAATAGTTAAATTATGTAATTTCCCAAATTTAATAGTTAATACTATAACTATAAAATATGCCATGTTATTTAAAATCCCATGACTATGGGAAGAGCATGTATTTTTACATGCTTTCTGTTAGTTAAACCCCTCATTCCACGTTGTCATGTTGATGGTCTGTAAATGCCAGGAAAATTCATGCATTTTTGAGGCACCCAATTTTTCTTGATTGCTTAGATTCCCCTAAAATTGGGGGGTGTCATCCCCATTTTTTCTTGGTGAAGTCCCAGATTTTACTGTACTTTTAGTTTTGGGAAGATCAAATATCTGAAATATGACCATAAATTCTGGTGGAACATCCTTAATTTCTGTCACTGATTTATCATTCCCTTCAGTGCAAACCTTTTCGAACACGACCATCGGTGAGTTGTGAATTGTATCATTCCATATGGGGGTTTCCATTCTTGGGGTACCCAATAGCTGGATGGTTTGCAAGGGAAAATCCATCTATAAATGGATGATGACTGGGGGTACCCCCATGACTTAAGGAAACCCCCATATCTTGGATGGTTTCTTGATCACGTTAAATCATGAATCCCCCCCATGTTAAACACAGAAACCATGGCTTTGCGCAAGGCGCAGTTGAGGTTACACATGGCTATAACATGGCTATAACCATGGGAATTGTTCAACCCTGATATAACTGATATAACCATGGTTACAATCAATATATATATATCCACAAATAATCCACTTATAATCCAGAAATAATCCACAACTAATCCACTTAGAACTGGAACTGCGCCATGGCGCTGGTGTTGATCAGCGCCGCCAGGCCGGTATGCTTGGCCACTGCCAGTAGCAACTGATGGATCCATGGCTCATCGGCTTCACCTAGGTATTGAAAACCCATAAAGGGAGTGAAGTTAACCCAGTTCATTGATGATGATGATGATGATGATGATGAAGATGATGATGATGATATCTAACTTGATGATGTTAATCCAGTTTAGTTTATGAGTAAACCCGGTATTGAATATTAATATTATTATTATTGTCTTAAGAAAAAACATTTTTTAAAGGGAATTAACTGGTCTAAACTAATGATTTGACTAGTTTGTAGATATTTGTATAACTGATGATAACTGGATGAATTTTTGTTCTAGTCCTACTTTACTTTTAACTGCTGTTGCTGTTGTTGTTGTTGTTGCTGCTGTTGTTGTTGTTGTTGTTGTTGTTGTTGTTTTTCCTGAAGAACTTTGACATATGTCAACGGTAAATATATAGATCTTACGGTGAATATAAATAAAAAATAATAGTATAAATATACTTCTGACACATTACCATACATTGTGGGATACAACATGTAAGCCTGTAAAAGATAGAAGTTCGCAAAATCCTGCCTTGGTACATCTGTTTTTCCTGCATCTTCTTGGGTCTTACTATAATTACAATACACATAGCTGGTTTATCACCATAGTTTATTCATAATCATAAGTTAGCACCTTAAGTTTGGTTTATGGTGATTACACAAATAATTTGGTAGCTAAATCTTATATAAATACCACCAACTTCTAAGGCGCGCCAGCTTGTGGCAAGGGAGCTGGAGTCTTAGTATCATTTTATAATCTGGCAACCCCCAAATTTAGATATAAAGTATTAGTAGCAATGGTATGTGTTTTTTACTTACATATTTTTCTGCATCCTTTTGCGGTTTATAGACTCTCTTATCACAATATCTGAGAACATGGGTCACGATACTTGGGAACCAGTCAACTTGAGGATGTCAGCAACGATCATGGGGGCGACATGGGGCACCAAAACTGGAACCAGCTGCTGACAAAGGGCCTACTGATTGATGCCGTGCAGTACCATCCAAGTGTGATAAAGCAGGGAAGCGTTCCAGGACATCCTTCAAGACGCGTGGAGCCATCGACATATACCTAGGTACTGCAAGAATGGGGTACTGCAGCTAGGCGGGTGGAAAGCACACCAATTTGTATATACACTGTAAATAATTTTCATGATGTCAGCTTCTTTTGGGCCAGCTTGGTTGGCTTAGCTACATGACAAGCTTGATTGGGTTGGTTCCTGGTCTTTATCACAGGAGAATTCCTTTATTTGGTAGATGATTTGGGACCCATTTTCTCTTGGTCGCATTCCTACAATTTCTAGAAAAGCAATCTTCTATCACTGTCATTCGTAATATATCTTTGTAAGTACTTACATACATATATATATAGAATACACCTAAAACATACAGTTTCCACTAAGTTCATAAATTGGTTCAGTTCTGTTTTACTTTCCCAATTTTTGTCGATCACATAAACCACCCCATTTTGTTGTTGCTTCAAAATATCTCCATCATTATTGGTTACGGTTCCGTTCTTTGATGATTGAGAATATTTCAGGGGTGCAGCTCTGTCACAGTATATACCCAGATCGCATTTCATCAAATACCGGTTATAACATGCCATACTACTTACAACATCTTACAACCACTGCAATCATACATTGTTTTAAAATCACCATAAATCCAAGCCTAGGTATAACCCAACGAGCAGTGCCCAACATGGGTACCTAAAAACCTCCAAACGATCAAGTCTACGAGTCAGTTAGTTGAAGCCCTACCCATGACAATGGTAGCGACAGAAATTCTGAAAGCAAGGGTGTTCGAAGTGCAAAGACCTCAATCATCCTTGCCTCATCATTCCACTAAGTGCATATGATGTTACACTTGGTTTCTATATATATATATATCTATTGTGTATATAGTCACCTATATAAGCATATCGCACGTTAACCATATCATCATGTTTCATCATTGTTCTGGTTAAGCATTGGCGAAACTACCCGTGATCTATAACTAAACTATATATAATCATCTATAACTATTGTTATTATCGTGCTTATATACTATATATAATTACCGTATCATTACAGTATATACTTTGTCCAAATTTATATAAATCACCAACTTGAAATAAGGTCGTTTTTGGATCGTTCCCTATTTCCTAACCCTCACTTGCAGTAGGGTCGCAGTGAAGTGTCTTTATAATAATCACCACATTTTAAGACAAGTAATAGTTATATAAATTAATCATTGAAGTAGCCTTAGATGAATACACAAACAATGGCAATAGTAATGATCGTCACACAGAATAACGAAACAAATCAATCAACATACAGTTTATCATAATGTCATCGTTTTTTTTCAGGGATTCCCGTAATGCACTGTGACAATCAGCAAAATACTGTTAGTATAATCCCCTAGAATCATCAACCAACAATCATTTATCAGTTCTATCTCCACATCCAAAAATATGTGTCATGGTTTTCATCCCATCTCATGACTATTTTTCACCGTCTTTCATGGTGAAATCCAATTAAAACTCCCATGAAATCAGCATTTGTTTGATGGTTTACCCATTAAATCCCATTCAATCATCATTTTTCTTGGTTAAATCATGTTAAATCCCATAAAAGTTCATTAAATCCCATTAAATCACCATTTGTTGGTGAAATCCCATGAAATCACTGTGAAATCACCTCTTTTCATGGTTAAATCCCATGAAATCCCCATTTCTCCTTGGTGAAACCATGACCCCCGGGGCTTCAAAAGCCCACGAGTTACGGTGACTTCACCTCGCGCCCGAAGACCTCAGGGAGCGCCTCGTCGGCGATCATGGGCGCCACTGGGCGGAACCACCTTGGGATGATGACATGACCTCAATACCCTCTGGTGAACTAACATAGGGAAAATCCACTATAAATGGCCATTTTCCATTGCTATGTTAGTTCACCAGAGGGTATATGGAAAAGTAAAATATATTGATAACGAAGACATATTCCATATATTGAGATATTCTGTAGTGGTTATCATATATTGTTGATCATGAATACCTTGGTAGATTCTGTAAAATATACCATGTTCCGAACTGGTATTATGAAAATATATGAGCCTTGGTATGATTCTTATAGATACTGGTAATGGTGGTATTATGAAAAGTAAAAGCCATGTTCCAAACCACCAACCAGTATCTATAATCAATATATACAATATGATATATAATAATATATAATGTGTATATATATATAAATATATGAGTGAGTGAAATTATATATAAATATATGATATTGTATACATATCAATTACACGTATACATATATGCATACAATATCATATATATATATATATACGTATATACGTGTATATATATAATTATGTATATTTGATGTTGAAACTTTTGGGATGAGCCGACGATTTATCTGTTGACCCACTTGGACAAACAACTGGGTCCCTTCCGAGGTCATTTTTTCAAAGCAAATGAAACCAAGCCGCGAAGAAGTGGCTCTCTTGGCGTGGTAAGTTAAATAAGTAATCTCATAAGTTACATATACATATATATATATATACATATTATAAACCCATGGCAAAATAGGAGAGATCCACTTCCGAAGTTCTGAAGCCATTCTGAAATTCCTCCGACCTCCCGCCCTGTCGAGAGCCCTTCCGAGGTGCTGCCGGCTCTTCAAACGATTCATCCCTGAGCTGTGCGAGGATCGTCGTTAGATCATGCGGAAATTTACCAACTTTTTGATGGGAAAAAATCGAGAAAAAACACCTGGAGCAGCGGACATAGAGATAGATCTCACATGATGAAAAGTTGGCCTTTGCCATCAAACTCCCATTCCTGCAGGCCGGGAGATTATGATTCCTTGGATTTTACCGATCTCTTGCTACCGTACATCCCAAGATGAGTTAAGGAAAACTATAAGACACACCACATTTGCCCGGTATTTGCCTGGAAAATCCACATGGTTTCCCAGGTGGATTGATCATCATTGATCCAGGGCACGGTCTCTCATCTTTGCGGAGTCGGGTACTGCCAACAGAGAGCGATGTCCCAACGCACGGGGACCGAACCTTGGGGAAGCCACAGATTTCATCGTGGCGATTGTGAGGTAAAATTTACGAAGCACTTTCGAAGAACTTTCAAATTTTCAAGCCATTCTTTTCTAATCAATTTTACTTATATCATCCCGAAAGGTTGTCAGGGCAACCCCAAAATGCAGCGATTTTGGCAGCAACTTTCATATGATGGGCAATGGAACAAAGCGGGACTGTGCTCCCAACAGCCAAGTTACAAGGGGGGTAATTGGGTAAATAAGGAGTGAGAATCGCTCATTTCGTATCCTTGTGGCCCTGATTTACCAATACTTGGTTGGAGCAACCCTGCAGGCAGTAAGAATGCAGGTGACGTTGGAGGATCCTTAAGGGAAGAACAGTAAAACATAGTAAAATTTTTGGCTGGATACCCCACTTGCAGAAACGCAAGTTGATGAGATCCCGATTCTCACTGGTCCTATCTCCACTACAGTACACTTGGATTCGCTAGTTCCGTTCGCATCCTTTCGCCACCATGTTCATGGTTTACGTTGCCCCTAAGAACAACTCCGGAACTGGGGACCCCATGTGACAAAAATCACCACTTTCGACTTCTTGGAGGCTCATCTCATCCCTATCATCTGGTTCATGTTGGTCCCCAGCTCCACCGAAAAACTGTCTGCAGAATCCGACAGAAACTTCGTCAAGTTCAATTTTTGGTTTGTCCCCCCCAAAAAAAAATAAAATCTACACACCATTTTTCCATCCAAAACCCATCAGATCCACCCGCTACAAACACTTCCTGTCCACCAAAGGGCTCTTGTCGCCCTCGTACCACCGCAACGATGGGTTTCTCGCCCGGTGGGCCATGGCCTGCAACATGACGGTTGTAACATGTTCCATATGTAACATGATGGATAGTCACGCTACAAGATAGAAAACTGAGTCGCTACTGTACATGTTTTCTTAAGAAAAAAAGATAGCACTGGAATTTCTCCTATCCTTTGTGCGACTATCAGTGAAAGAATGGGTCAGGCATTGCCAGCTGGTTGGAGGTTTATCGCATGTAAGGCTGCGTAAACATGATCAAACAAACAGGATCCGGACAGCGGGATATCTATACTTGTGGGTTTGTCTGAACTTGGGCATCCTATTTCAAATTTCATGGTTACCGTCTGGTAATTTAACAATAGCTATTGAAAATGGCCATTTATAGTTGATTTTCCCATTAAAAGTTGTGATTTTCCATAGCTATGTTAGTTTACCAGAGAGTAATCATCATTTTCCCTACAAGGTTGTGCCCCCCAGTTATAAGTTGGTTTATAAACCCCATTAACTATAGATATATCTACCATAAACCATAGTTATTGAAGTTATAAACCAACTTAGCTAACTATGGGGCACCACCTTGTATGAATAGTGTCGTTTCGGGGGGGTATCCGGGTATCCTCCATTTTCAAAGATCCCCTGTGAGATCTCGGTGCCGCACTCAGAAGCTCGGCCAAATGTTCCACGCCGCCAAGCTGGCTCAATCGTCTCCTGGGGCGAGAAGTGGTGCAGCTGGTTGATGACATATGATGAAATGATAGTTTAAATATGTTCAAATATGTTCAAATAGTTCATACAGACTCATATCAAATATAGTGAAAATTGATGTAAACATTTGGATTGATCAGCTCAGCTTATTGTAAGATGACTATGGTAGATAAACTCCATAGGTCTCATGCTCAGCAGGAACCAAATGTAGTTACAGTAGTAAATAATATGCTGATTGAAATTGTAGGGCCACAAACCAACAGATCTTCAGAAAGGGGAGTGGCCACTCTTCAGAGTGGTTGGGGAGGCCCAAAACAGATCAGTTACTCTGTGAGTGTTTTGCATGTTGTCCGGCTAACTCCGAAAGCTTGTTGAGTGCAAAACAAGCTTCCTATTAGCCGGAAAAAAACACTAGCCATCTATCTTGGTATACACAAGGCAACCAACCCCCTTGTTCGAAACGAATACCTTGAGTCCGTGCAGCCACGTGTCGCACCCCAAGCTCGCGCCACTTCTTCCAGCTGCTCTTCATCCTGGTTTTGGCCCCTCCCATTTTTCTTCTTCACTTGGGATCATCGTTGCAGAAAATATGGACAATAAGTCAGATATATTCAGATCTTGGACTTCTGGTTGCAGGTCAAAAGCCTGTACTCTTGTGAACGCAGTTGCAGTTCACATCCCCAATTCATACACCAAATAGTCTTGGCTGGGACCTGGACTAAAGGCCTGGAACAAAAGAGGAAACGTTCCAATTCAACCAGGGGCCCTGGAACTGTACTGAAACCCCGTTTAAAAAATGGCGTTGGAAGATGATTTTCATGATTTTGATATTGGATACAGGATGGGCCCCCCAGTTTAAAAGTTGGTTCATAAACCATTGTAACCCCCACTAACTATAGTTATATCAAGTTATATCTACCATAAACCATAGTTAAGCCACTTATAAGGCAACTTAGCTATCTTGGGGGCCCCATCCCGTATGACATATTAGAAATTATTGGAATATATCGGATATGACATGATAGGCATGATAGGACCATCTCTGGGGTTCCAAGTTGAATCCTGGGAGACTGTTCATCCCACTCCCCCCATTCCAAGCTTCCCAGAGGCGAAAGCCAGCCTGAAGCCGGCGCAGGGAGATCATCCAGGTTGGTTAAAAGTGGTTCCCATGGGTCATAACCCCTCTAAGAATCTACCATCAATCTACCGAATCTACCGGTCTTTTGGGCACTTCTCAACTGAATCAGGTTCTTTGCACAAAAGTGCAAGACCTATGCCTCCAACACTTCATCAAATGCTCAGTCTGAAGTTATCTTGAACATGATATTCCGCGAGAGCTAGCGGATCAAGGTGCCGTCCGTCTAAGGTGGACAAAATGTCCCATCAAGTGACCGTTTGAGCTGTCAAGTATCTTCGACTTAGACACCTCAAATTGTCCCGTTGGTGTGCTGGCAAGATGTGGCAAGCATCAACGGGCAACGATTGACAATTGACACATGTCAAATACAGCTTGCCAATGTCAGTTGTCAGAGGAGCAAACCAACAACAACCTCATCCATCAGATGGGCCTGAACCCAGTTCCCAAGACATACCATTTTCTCATGTTTCAAACTCCGCATATACACCTATATGATTTGCATGCTCTTAGACTTTACCCCACCAGCAAACAAACAGAGGCAGAATAGCAGGCAGAAAAGAACAACTTAAATTAATCATATTCATGTTTTGTGGAATTTGACAGATATTTATTTTGCATCAAGACATGTTTTTTACATATTGATGAATTGATGATCTTCATATGTATATATATATACACACATATAAATATATATATATACATACCGGTGCAACATGCCGGAGCAACATGCCGGATTTCCCACTGCCAGGTGAGATTGTCCAAGCCACGTACTGCAGCACTTGGTTTCTGGGGGGCTGCACCAACGCCCACGCGCCACCCACGGAGAGCCCAGAATCGTTGGGGGCTGCTGGGACGTAGATCCCCTGGGACGGTCGGCAGCTTGGGTTGATTTATAGCTGGTTGGTGGTTGAGCCCTACCATTGTGGTAAAAAAAACTGTTAATAATGGTTAACAACCATGGTTACCAGTAGTGCCGCACAAGGCGGTGGCGGAAGTTTCAAAAATAGGAAACCTATAGGAGAGGTTGGTTGTTGTGAATCAGGGATGGCAGAGCGAAGCCACTGATGGACTGAAAGGTGCTTGAGGTCTCCTCTCTTTGTCTCTCTTTCCCTCGTTTTCTCTCTGTTTCTCTATCTTTCTCTGATTATCTACCTATCTACCTACTGATCTATCTGTCTACCTATCTATCTGTCTGTCTGTCTATCTATCGTTGCCGTGCAACGAATTACGGATGCTGAGGCGCCATCGTGCTGTCAGAAAAGACAAACACGTTGGCGCGTGCCGTCAGAAAAGACAGACACGTTGCTGTGCAACGAATTTCCGATGCTTATACGCCATCATGCCGTCAGAAAAGACAAACACGTTGGCGTGCAACGAATTACGGATGCTGCTGCGCCATCGCGCCGTCAGAAAAGACAAACACGAAAAAGCCGGACCGAAAGCGACATACCAAGGGCGGCGGACAAAATCTGGTCAAACAATGTGCCTTTATTGTTTGATGCAAGTTCAGTGCTTGTCTCCGCAGACTCCAGCAAGCGTCGCGATGTGCTTCCAAGAAAAATGTTGCCCCGTGCCTTTTCTACAGTCCACCGACACAACCAAGCATCGGATGCAACAGCGACAGCAAAATAAGAACAAGGGATTCCAATACTAGTGTGGAGCCCCTCCCCGCTGCACCCCACATTTATCTATCTATCTATCTATCTGTCTAGCCATCTATCTATCTATCTATCTATCTAGCCATCTATCTATCTATCTATCTATCTATCTCTCTCTCTCTTTCATCTGTCTATCTGTCTAGCTGTCTATCTGTCTACCTGTCTATCTGTGGTGCAGCGTCATTCAGTGTAATGTAGTGTAGTGTAATGTAGTGTAGTGGAATGTAGTGTAATGTAGTGTAATGTAGTAGTGTAGTGTAATTTAGTGTAGTGGAGTGTAGTGTAGTGTAATGTAGTGGAGTGTAATTTAGTGTAGTGGAATGTAATTTAGTGTAGTGGAGTGTAATTTAGTGTAGTGGCAATTTAGTGTAGTGGAGTGTAATTGAGTGCAGTGTAGTGTAGTGGAGCGTAGTGTAGTAGAATGTAGTGAAGGTGTAGTTGTAGTTGTAGTTGTAGTGTAATGTGTAATGTATTGGAGTGTAGTGTGGTGTAGTGGTGCTTGTAGTTGAAAGTGCTACAAAACCCTCACGTTTTGCTCACTTTTGACAAGGTGCACAATCCCTTGCGCCTGCCACGCGAAGCGACATCTGAACCTCCAAAAGTGGTCCGAACCCCTGGTGTTTTTAACATTTTGACTTCAAAATGTGCTTCGCGCCACAACGGCGTGCACTTTTTCGACATCGCAACTTTCAAAAGTGGTCCGAGAATGGTGTGCTTTGTACATTTTTACTTCGAAATGTACTTCGCGCCACAACGGCGTGCACTTTTTCGACATCTCAACTTCCAAAAATGCTCCGAGACCCAGGTGTTTTGTACCTTTTCACTTCAAAATCTGCTTCGCGCCACAATGGCGTGCAACTTTTCATTTCTCATCTCCCCAGATGTCTCCGCACCCGCCGCTTTAGCGAGCCTACTTTTCGACCCTCCGGAGCCACAAAACATCGAAAAAACACAGTGTTTCGCGACTTTCCTACCTTTTCGCACACCTGCATCTTCTTTCTTCTGATCTTTCCTCTTCCGACTTTTCTCCCCTCTGACTCTGCTCCCGTCTGGCTCTTCGCACCTCTGCTTTTTCATCTGTCCATATTGTCGGAAGTTTGACTTCGAAACTTCCTTCTATGGTTAATGATGGTTAATCATAATCTGGTTGGTGGTTGACCTACCCCTCTGAAAAATATGAGTTCGTCAGTTGGGATGATGACATTCCTAATATATGGAAAAATAAAAGCCATGTTCCAAACCACCAACCAGATAGGGATTCAACTCACAAAAATGGTGGAAATTTAATAGGGGTCTTTGGGATATTTGAATGGAATATTGGTGAAAAAGAAGAGACTTTTCCCGATTGGAATGGAAAATGAAACTTTTCAGATTTGAATGGAATATTGGTGAAACTAGCCTCGTCATCAAACGTGGCAATTGAACATCGAAATGGGGATTTACTGGGACAACCATCAAACTAAATAGGGGATTTTCCAGCACGCCATGGTTGATTACTAGACGGTACAAGGGGGATATCTCATGGGGAGACAGTGGGAGTGTCTGAAAATGGAAGGATCTTCCCAAGTTCTGGCCGCCGTTCTAATAGGGAACATGATGATAATCCAATTGATTCGGGAATACCCTACCGAGTCAATTGGAGTAGCGGGGTCACTCCCGCTGTTTTTCTGAATCATGCCACCCTGTGTGTTGCAAAAAAAGGCCCATCTCAAGCCTTTGCTTTCCAAGTACCACTCAGGAATGGCCCCCACCAAGTCATGCTGGTTGCTTTATTAGCCAGTACAACTAGTTCAGTATATGCACCACAAATCCCATCTTTTCCCTAACTTATAACCCAACTTACCTATAATGTTAACCCTGGATTAACATAAAATTGGGGTGGCACCATTTAACCATCAGATTATGACTACTGGGGGAGTACCCCCCAAGTTAGAAAACATGGTTCATTAATCTGGGGTTGACGCTAAATCACATATCAGTCCCCATTTCCCCATTGTTCCTGGTTACCCTCTGGTAAACTAACATAACTAATGGGGATTCATTAACTATACATGGCCATCTATACCATAGCTATGTTAGTCATTACCAGAGGGTGCATCCTCGATCCAAGGAACCATGGGGCCGTCGGAGCTATTCACCTGGCACCGTCCAGTTGTTGCACCCCATTGCCCTTTGATAAACAGCGGAAAGAGATTGCATGTGTATGTATATAATATATATATGTATATGCAATATGTACATCACATAGTATCCATATTGATATATCAAGATGTATCAAATAGATGGTTGATATATGTATATATATATATATACAGATACATGCACTGATTTAGATTTATCGATATACAGATATTTACATATCAACACCACCATTTCCTTTCCAAATTGAACGATCCCATTTTCTCCAGGATAGTTGAGTCGCAGGAGGGCAACCTGTCCCATGATATGGTCTGTGTGTACGATATCATATCGATGTAAAATATGAGGCAATTCAGCAATATGTGCTAAGCATTGCTAAGCGGCTTGGGGGTGCTTAGCACTTTGATTTGGAGCATCCGGTGCCATTTTGTGGCGGGCAAACTGTCTGGAGATCTGCTGAGGTCAGCGGTTACGCATGGACGGCGCATGTCACGCATGTCACTTCTCCTAGGGGTAGAAGTGAACAAGGATCTTAAACACCACCCCGCATGATTTCAATCATCACATCCTTAACACATCGCTATCTGATCATCCATTTGAAATTCAAAATTTTCGGATCTCCATAAACCAGCAATTTCTCTGAAATACCCCTTTTTCGTGATCCACCATAAACCATAGCTAAACCATAGCTAATTTCCAAAAATCGCTGCGATTTTCCATCCCATGGCTAATTTCCACCATAAACATAGCTAATTTCCACCACAAACATCATAAACATCACCAACCAGCCCATTTTTTGGGGGATTTGCCCTGGCCCCAGGCACCAAGATGGTGTCGTGAATCAGCTGGTTGGCCAGGACATTCAGCCCGCAACCACCTGCGGTGGGGAAACCTTGGGAAACCATGGTGGTTTTTACATATGAAGCAGAAACATCGAGAATGGTGGTGACTCAGTTAGATGAGTTGCTAAGTTTAGAACTCCAAAAACTGTTGGCTTGAAGAGGTGTATATATATATATTTATATCGAACTAGTTCATGGTGGCACCACCTTGTATCTACAAGTCTGAGGATGGCATTGAGGATCATCCCAAAGATAAGCAGAAATTCCAGGTTCCAAGACCAGTGCAGTAACTAGTGCATTTCAATCAAACATGGGTATAGCTATGACTAGTATTGAAAAACATGGCTAGTGCATTTCAACCAAATGCACAACTCTAAATGATATTAACATCAACTCTAAATGATATTAACATCGTACATGGGAAAACATGGCTATGCACTATGCACAATTCTTTGCAGCGCCTGTCACTACGAGACCTTGAGGTTGTGGTAGTCCCAAAGGTCCTCAAGTCTTTGCATGTGTGGAACACTATGTTTGTATGCACCTAGTAAAGTAAATATCTAATGTCCAAGCATACTTAATACAGATACACATATAATGTGAAATCATGTGAATTCATTAGACACATGTAGCATACAGCTTTGTACTTATTTATCAATCTAACATGATATATTTTTTTCTCGCTTTGTTTTCTCTGTTTTAATCCAACCCGTCCCCTCCAATTGATTCCAATTGTACATATAACACATACATCTGCGGCTTCAATTCGCAGCTGACCAGCAAACCAGCATTGCCATGACTCCCAACTCTTTCAGAATTGTTCTCACCACTTCCAGGACATAAGTCTCGAACTGCACCTGCCAGAGCTTCAGTGCCCATAAATCTCATGCTTTAGAGTCAACTTTAGAGCATCATTTCTCCATTGTTTACTGGCCATTGGGAGTGTCCGATGGTTTATCAGTTAATTCTATTTAATTCTCATCTTCTTTGAATCGAGATATCTAGTCCATTTGGGATTGTCAGAATCCCATGGTTTAGAAAATCATTGTGCGTATCACAATGCAATAACAGGTGGTATACCTGTTTTTTTAACACACACACATATCATAAACAACCCGGCGGGGGGAAAACCGCGCCAGCGTTTTGAGCGTTGTGAAAAAAAAAATGTCGTTTTCGCCATAGCGAAACTGCTGATTCATTCCCCAAAATGGTCTTAAAAATCCCCGGGATTTTGAAGTGGTTTTTTAACAATGACCTGAAATTTACAGGGAATTTGTGCCTGAAAACTCGCGCGATTTTTTTTTCCACTCACATTGCCATACGATTCTTCAAGGCTTGGTGACCTCCATCAGGCCTTTGGTCGTGGAGTTCATCCAACGCCACTGCCACACCCGGATGCTTCGCATCAACTTTGGGTTAACATGGCCGTTGCATCTGGTCGGGAGACTGCATGGTATGGCAGACTTAGATAGTCGCAAGTTAACATGAATGTTAACATCCCCACCCCCCCAACCCAGTGACCTAACGTGAGATGTGCATGTGACGCAAGTTAACATGAACGTTAACATCCCCACCCCCCAACCAAGTGACGCAACGTTAGATGTGCATGTGACGCAAGTTAACATGAACATTAACATCCCCACCCCCATCCAACCCAGTGACGTAACGTGAGATGTGCATGTGACGCAAGTTAACATGAACTTTAACATCCCCACCCCCATCCAACCCAGTGACGTAACGTGAGATGTGCATGTGACGCAAGTTAACATGAACGTTAACATCCCCACCCCCATCCAACCCAGTGACGTAACGTTAGATGTGCATGTGACGCAAGTTAACATGAACGTTAACATCCCCACCCCCCAACCAAGTGACGCAACCTTAGATGTGCATGTGACGCAAGTTAACATGAACATTAACATCCCCACCCCCATCCAACCCAGTGACGTAACGTTAGATGTGCATGTGACGCAAGTTAACATGAACGTTAACATCCCCACCCCCCAACCAAGTGACGCAACGTTAGATGTGCATGTGACGCAAGTTAACATGAACATTAACATCCCCACCCCCATCCAACCCAGTGACGTAACGTGAGATGTGCATGTGACGCAAGTTAACATGAACGTTAACATCCCCACCCCCCCAACCCAGTGACGTAACGTGAGATGTGAATGTTACGAATGAAATATGTGTGTTTTCAAAAACGGCCAAAACGCTGGCGCGGTTTTCCCCCCGCTGGCATAAACAAGATTCCATTATATATATATATTATAGAAATAGACCTGTTCACATACCCTTTAGACTGGTACCACCATTGCCCATATTCTTGTTGCTTAAATCTCGCTTGGAGGATCACCCCCCCCACTTATTCAATGGAATATCACCATTGTTGTTGGCGAAATCCCCATGACTCGTAAAACGCTTTGAAAATAGGCCCATATCAATCCAGTGGCTTTGAAAATCCAATTATATAACGAGGTCACTAACCGCCCATGACTGGGGGTCATTAAGAACATATAAGAACATCGTCCCATTGCTATCGGGCATATGCGGCATATCCAATTTCATTTCACCTCAAAACGTGGGATGTTTTTTTTTGGTTGACCACAGGAAAAATGTCCATGACTGTTGGTTGAATCTCTTGGATTTGCTTAAGGTCTCCCTGCAAATATGTATGCATATATATACATACACTTACACACATATGTATATATATTATATATATGATATGATATATCCGTATAGATTCCCCAAATGTTATTATGGCCGTGTCTTTCCCAACAGGAAAGTAGACAGTCACCTTAAACATCTTAAACAAACATTGATGGAACCATACCATGATTTTACATATATTTACCCATCAATGACCATCAATGTTTAGTGATTTTAACCATCAAGAACTCTTGGATGGTCATCCCCACTAGTGATGATCATCCCCCACTATTCTTGATGGTAAAAATCCGCCATTAATGGTTGAATTATCTCATCCCCCTACTTCAACATCCCCATCCCAGGGTCCCAATTCTGTGTTTTTTATCCCCTATATATATAGCCTATAGGAAACCATGGTTTCTAGATGTTTCTGGACCCACCTGTGCTGCCGCCGCAATGGTCCGCTGGTTCTGCAGGGACTCGCAGCCGTAGCGCAGCAGCCCCACAGGCATCCAGGCGGGTCCTGGAACCGTGAAAATGGGGAAACATACGGAGTTCATGGAGAAAGAAGTGTGAGACATAAGAATTCCACCTCCAACTTTTTCGCTGTTCCTTTTTGAAGCCCCCATCTGAGACTGGAGGTTTCATGCCTCGGGAGTTGTCACGAAGATACATGGAGACCAGCTCTTCAATTGCAGGCACTGAAGCACCTCAGGGCGCTACCATGAACATCAACAGTCATCAACCCCTAATGGGGTTTCTTGAACCACACCAGTCACCAAACACAGCCAGTGTTTAAACTTACCAAACCTCCAGTGTTTCGTGGGGCTTTCCTTTAAATTGGGCCACAGCTTGGAATTTCCGGGCGTCGACTTCCCTTGATCGTCATCCCTCGACATCGGGGTTCCGCACCCAGCGCCCCATAGGCCATCAACTTGCCAGTCCAACTGAGGTGATCAATCCTTGACGCGACCCTGCAGATGGCAATCCGATGAGGATTTCGACGCTTCAAATATGGATATCATTGATATATTCCTAATATTTGATATCATAATTGGAACTCATATTTTTCAGAGGGGTAGGTCAACCACCACCAGTATTGTTTTACCCACATTGATATCATATGTAATCTAATTGGTGGTATTCCTAATATAATGTGGGTAAACCAATACTGGTTGGTGATTGACCTACCCCTCTGAAAAATGATGGAGTTCGTCGGTTGGGTGATGAAATTTCCAATATATGGAAAAACAAAATGTTCCAAACCACCAACCAGTATAGATATCATACGCAATTAGAGGTTTGTGTCTTTGGCTTGACAAATGGAGGTTTAAAATGGGGGTACCTCCAAATCATCCATTGGAATAGGATTTTCCATTCTAAGCCATCCATTTTGGGGTAGTCCCATTTATGGAAACCTCCAAATAGGCAAAAAAAGCACTAAACTCACTAATTACACTGGCTGGTGGGTGGTAGTCTTGCAGATTCCGTGGTCGTCCCAGCAATCGAAAATCATCGTGAGTTGTTGGTGCCACCTCTAGCGAAAAAGGTTTGTTACTGTTTGCATCTCAACCATTCAGTAGAAGATCTCGGACGCCTACCCTCTGGTAAATTTAATATTGCCATATATATTTTTTTTTTGATCGGTGAATAATCTGTAAATGAACCTTTTACCATAGCTAACCGTCTTCATGTTCTGAAAAAATGGTTCCTGAACACATGAAGAAAAACCAATGAATCACCAACTGCGCTGGTTGAGTGAAGGTCTACCGTTTTTTCCGATCGGATTGCCCAGTCCCAGTCTCAGCGAGAAATCAACCTGCGACCTCAGCAGGGCTTCCGTAGAGGCTCCGATAAAAATCGTTCAAGGTATGGGTGTAGTGTTTCCCCCAAAAATAGACAAGTAAATCCCTCTTGAACTCTAGTAATTCAATTCTTATGAATTTAATTCACTGTTTTATCTTTTTGGGGATTACTACATTTTTTTTGACCTCCATTTTGAGAAAATTAATTACTACGTGTGTATACGTTTGTAGTACTTAGTACATCACTCATTTTCGGGCCAGGCTGGTACAACTTTGTTTGAGTCCTATCCCCAAAATGGGAATATTCACGCAGAAAAATGGTGGTGAAAAGCTACACAAAATGGGGAGATCGAACCCTCGGTTGGCCAGAAATCCAAGGGAATACTCCAGAACACGAAACGTGATTTTCATGCTGAAGAAACGGGAACATGCAAAACAATGATGACATTATCTGGTTGGTGGTTTCAACCATATTGAAAAATATGAAAGTCAATAGGAAGGATTATCCCATATATTGTGGAAAAAATGTTTGAAACCACCAACAAGATGATGACATTATGAATCATGATGATGAGTAGTGATTCCAATTACACCGCCGGATTTTGAGCTAGCGGATTTTGTGGACAACCCCACATAGCAACAGTTTGCGGCTCCCAGCAATCAAAACTCCACTCGGGTCAACAAATATTATCTGATCAACAAAAAAACGACGATCTGGGTTCAGCTTGAACTTTCCATGGAATTTATAGGGACTCCCAATAGCCTTGAAAGCTTCCCATACTAGTAAGCACAGCAACACGATATTCAACAGGCTTTCTGCTGGAAGTGAGAGATCGGGATCTTCCCTGTAGTAGTTCTGGCAGCCTCGATGCTCAGTTTCAAGCAGTATCCATCAACAATTGTACACCAATCCAGGATGCTCCTGTGACTGCTGTCCATCTGAATATGTATATGTATATATAATATACATAAAACTGAACCATACAATGCATACCATGTGTTTTGTAAATAATATACGCCATATATATCCATATGCATATTACATAATAGATATAAATCCGCCCGCCCCAAAGGTGCCGAGGCGTGATAGTTTAGGAGCGGAGCCGATCGATTCGAACAATTCTCTGTTCACTGGTGCAGCTTCAGCTGGGGCGGTCCATTTTCAGGATCGCCGCCGCGCCAAAAAGTGCACGGGACTGGTAGTTTGCACATTTTGCAGATCGGCCCAACATCGTCCAAATGCACCGTTTCGATCCGACATGGCCGCAACATGGGCTCCACTTGGGTCAACTTCGGCCAATAACAAGCCCAACTTCGGCCCAACTTCGACCCACTTGGCTCCAACTTCGGCCCAATCATGGCGCAACTTGGCAGTTGGAGTCGTTTGGGAGCGATTTCGGCCCAAGTTGAGCTCCACATGGGCTCAACACGGGGACATGGCCGGCCCAATTGTGAAATTCTCTGGGTGCGGGCGGTGCTCGTCGCGAAGCGACTCGAATATGATCATTTACACAGGGAACTGCTCACGTGCCATACCCATATAAATCCATATACTCCATTGGTATATTTACCTACATGACTGGGTGATTTATGTTGGGCACATGTTGGTAAATATGCCGTACATGGAGCATATGGGATATAGGGGAACCACTCACGATTTACTTCTCGACCAGCCGTTGCCTTGGCTCACGTTTCGACTGGAGATTTCAGACCTGAGGAGTTTGTCGAGAAATTCGATTCCAAAGGTTGGCGACTGAAAAACAACAACTGGGAGGATCAATCAAAAAACATACCCTCTGGTAATTTAACATAGCTATTGAACATGGCCATAGAAATAGTTGATTTTCCCAGCTATAAAATGGTGATTTTCCATAGTTATGTGACAGTTTACCGGAGGCTATATCAAAATATTACCATGATAATAATAGCAATGTGGCAAACCCAATCATAACCCCCAACATCACCATAATCAATAACTGGTTGGTGGTTGACCTACCCCTCTGAAAAATATGAGTTCGTCAGCGGGGATGATGACATTCTCAAAATATTGAAACATGAAAAAAGTTCCAAACCACCAACCAGTCATGATAAATCTAGGGAAGATATGGTATGGGTATGTATGGGTTATTCTTCGGACCTGGAGCACACTGCCCGAAATGCGTGGGCTCAAATTTGGTGTTTGGGAACACGTCGGACGCCATTCAAGTCCAGTTACATGATCGCAGCCAGCATCGAATATCCTGGTCACAGACTCACAGATCACCGCATGGGTCAAAATTGAGTCATCTTCCAAACAATAAATGGCTGCTAGTTTAGGAAAAAACACAATTAAGCCAAAATATTTAAACAAAAATTGTTTGGCTCAATTATTGAATGTTCTTTTCCTAAGAAAAGGAGGCAGAGATTTTCGCTTTCCTGCCTGCTCCCACCTTCCCTACAGGTGGCTGTTTCTAAGTCCCATCCTGACCCTATCGCCCATAATTACTTGGACAATCAATAAATCAATCAATCAATCACCCAATCAATCAATCAACCAACC